ATTAAGTGATTGCAATAACTAAAAGTGCTGGAAAATACATTTCTCTCTATGCAAAACAAAGGTACCTTTGAGATGAGAGTTACCATTTGGAAGTTTTGGAGTATCCTCCTATAATTCAAACAAGTTGATGAGGTCTACGGACTCTGAGAAAGCATGTTCAAATTCCAGTTTGTGAAACTCCATCCATTAAGTATAAGGAAGAAATAAAATAAGCTATTTTATTTAAAGTAAGTTGGAAATTATTTCAGAATTTAATGAATAATAATATTTCTCTTTTTGGACACTTTTAGAATTATTCAACAAATCTAAGAACACACACAAACAGAACCTTGCATGCAAACTGTTGTTTTAAATATTAAAGTAAAATTTACTTTGTTTTGTTTATTACTTAATTGAACAGATGGTAATGGTTTTGACACAATTCAATTCTGTTTTCCGTTTTCTTTTTCTTCTTACACAAAATAAACACCCACAGAACACAGATCTTCTTTGCCCACTTTGTCACAGCTGGTTACCAATCAATCTCAATTCACGGTACATTGGTGATAGTACCAGTTGTCCAGGGGCCAAATCTGATTGAGTTGCATTTTTCAGCAATGTTTCATATCCGAAGAAATAAGGTACCGCCATCGTAGGAACTAGCAGCACAGGATTGTTCAACTGTCATTAATCAAACCTGGCAGCAATGACTACATCTATATAGCATGCAAGATTGGCAGATTGCATGATGCAAACCACCCGACTTCTTTTAGAATGGCCTTATCACAAATGGTTTTTCCTTCTTGTTTTTTCTCCACTTGTTTTTAATTAAAGTCAGCAATACTCCCTACATGTTGTTCATACTTAACTTTTTACCATGTCACACGGCAGCTGTTTTCTACCAAAATTTGCTCTAGTTGCTTAAATTCATTCTGGATTAATTAAAGAAAGCTAGCAGCAATGGAGAGCAATATTTACATATATTTAATAATAAAGGAACCACTCTTAACAATGTATTATTAGTAAAAAAAATCACTTAAGAACCTCCTAGAATCAGAGCTGATTTTAGAGTAACATTGACAAATATATAGATGAAGTTCATTTGTAATATTTTCAAAGTCCTGAATTAGTCACCCATATATAAATAATATAGTTACTCAATGCATATATATGCAGAGCAACAAAAACATACGTGAAATGGAAAGTTGTGTCAATCTCTATTAGAAAAGGAAATGTATTAAGAGGTTTATTGCCCTTTCATCAGACAATAGTGGGAACATCTTCAAAATTTTGAGGCAAAATAAACATTTTCCACCAAGTTCTGTATTATAGAACCACCTACTAAGCCATGTTGTTGCTTAGATTCCTTTAAGCGTAAGGAATCATAAGTCATCACTTTTCACATATCACTCTGTCAGTATTATCTGTCAGGGGAAAAATCAGTTATCTCTCTAGTTATCCAGTGGAATGGTATAAAAGCTAATTAACATAATTATTAGGCTTATACCAGTTTATCCCGAGCAAAACGTAGACGTTAAGGGCATGTTTTGGGAGGCTTAGAGCAATATATGCAACATAACTGCTTGTTTGACACATAATTTGAGAAAATCATTTATTATCTGAGGGAAAATGTAACACAGTGGTGGATACTCCTGAAAACTTGTTTCTCTTATAACTGTGTCCTTGTGTGGTCCTGAGAAGGAGATAGGTCATGGTTTGCCTTTGACAAAATGTGAAATTTCTAATGAGCCAAATGCTTATTTTCTGTGTTATGAAGTTAGCTAAATATAAATCTTTAAAGCAATTTCCATACTCCTTGAGGTTTTAATGGTAAGAGTCAATATGATTGAGTTATTATTCTATCATTTCCCTAGCCCTAAGGCTTGTATAAACTCTCATATAAATTCCCCAATGCACTCAAGTCTCCTACATTTGTTAGGGTTACAATCAAGGTTCAAATGGGAGACTGGCACATTGGTTCAATGATGTTGCAAGAAACAGTAGGTGTTTGCCATTTTATGATGTACAATTGTATTGAGATTGATGCACAAACTGTGCATTGGTGACTCATGCCTGGCGTCTCCTGAGAGGCTGAAATCTGAACATGCCAGTTTGAAGCCAGCCTCGACAGGAAAATCCATAGGACTTTCCCCCTTGTAATAACACCAAAACAACAGAAATGGAGCTGTGGTTCAAGGGGTAGAATACTAACCTTGAGCAAATTTGTATATGAGCTAGTTTTTGTCTTGGCTTTTTAGAATAGTAAAGAGACTCGGTCAAATAATAACCACCATTGACAAAACTAGTCAGGAGCCTAGGTAGTTGTAGATAAACTGAAAATTGTCTTCTTTTATCTTCTAGCAAAATATGTCAGCAGAACTAGACTAAATGTAGGGAATATTTATTTTTGATAGATATTATATCTCAGCAAAATTTTTTTTGGTCAGTTATGGGGGCTGAACTCTGGGCCTGGGTGTTGTCCCTCAGCTCTTCAGCTCAAGGCTAATGCTCTACCACTTGAGCCACAGCGCCACTTCCGGCCTTTTCTGATTATGTGGTGCTAAGGAATTGAACCCAGGATCTCATGCATGAAAGGCAAGCACTCTACCACTGAGCTAACTTCCCAGCCCTCAGCAAAATTTTTAAGGCACACAAAAATCACAATTTTTCACTTTTTATTAACAAAATCGATCAGAAAATGTTTCTCTGTATGTTACCCTCTTATGAATCTTAGTAATTTTCCTACCTTGTAAATATAGTCCATAAGACAATGCTTGATAAGAATGTACTCATTTCCTTGCTCATGTAATTGTAACCTTTCTGTATGGTATTTTCACACTAAAAAACTTATTAATAAAAAATAAATAAATTTTAAAAAAGAAAGACAATCAGAAACCTTAAAACCACTACATTAAATTGGCCTTCATAGAAACAGGAAACAAGGAAGACAGTACATGTTCAACTAATATTATTTGAGTTACTAGTAAATGCAATAAATAGGCAAAATGAGATATATACTCTCTTTGTTCCAGTCTTAAGTACAATGTACCTAACAATTTATTCAAACCCCATATGTCTGTTGAGAGAGATGTTCCTAGCACCATTTTGTTAATAATGAAATGGAGACCAAGAGACTTTAAGTATCTTGTTCACCATTATAACCATAAAAAGAGGCTGAGATTAAAAATTGGCCATTCACTGCAACTAGGTCTTAAAAGCTCTGTGTTTTAGAGTATGGATATTAGAACTGAGGGAGTAGACAAGATCTCTGCCTTATTAAAATGAAGAGCCAACAAGTTGAGCAGGCAATCATGCATATATCAATGAGTTACAAGGACATAGTCATAGTTTTCATTACCTGTCATTTTGTTAACTTTTTTAGTTTTTTCACTCAAGGTCAGGTGCTCTGTCACAGCTATGTTTCTGGAGTTTTGATGGATACTTTGAGATAAGAATCTCACAGACATTACTACCCAGGCTGACTTTGAACCACCATCCTCAGATGTCTGACTCCTGAGTAGCTAGGATTACAAGCCTGATCCCCAGCAACATTGCTTTTTGTTATGACAGGATGTGAAAGGTAGATCTATTTTTAGTTCTTATAGTAAAGCTGTTAAGCTGTGTTATTCTTTCAGCTAAATCTAGAAGTAGGGTACATGGAATTATGTTTAAGTGCAATTCTAAAAATTTTTCCTAAAACCAACAGAACGCCTCAGCTAGTCTCCAGCAGACCGAATCAATTAAAATAGCACATTGAAACATGGAACAGTGCAATGTATGAGAAAGAGAAGGGATCCACCGATAGCTATTTCAAATATGTGAGGTTGAAATGAAAAACAGATGATGATGATGATGATGATCACCATCATCATCATCATCATCATCATCATTAAAATCAAGAAGAAAGATCATTTAAGAGGAAGCAAAACTAGTAACTCCACAGCTATGTTTATGCAAATAGAACTTCATAGTCTCTAACAAGAGTATGTTCTTACTCAAGGATGTATTAAATTTCATTTTACTATTTCAGAATTTCATTTTAATTTATTTTTGTTTTAGATGTGATATACAGTGGGGTTAACTTTACATGCCTCAGGTAGTAAGTACATATCCTTTCTCATAGTATCATCTGCTCCCTCATTTTTCTCCCATTCTCTTCCTCTTCCCTCCCTACCCACAAGATGCATAGTTAATTTCATCAATGTCCAGTGTAGCCGGTATGCTTCACTGCTGGACTTCTCTATTTTTCTGTGCCCCCACTCCCGATGTGTATATGAATGCACCATAGATAAGGTGAAGAATACAGACTCATCAAAGAAGAAAAATTAAGATAAAAGTCCTTTGTTGAAACACTCTTTTATTCTACAGATGAAAACAATCAATAATGCTCATGAAGGAGCTGAAAATGTGCATTTCTAAAAACTCATTTCAAATCTTGATCTTTCAGCAATTAATTGAAAATACTTGAGCTTCTTTCATTCTTTTAATTTATACACATTTAGTCAATATGCCTGCAATCAAGACAAAAGTTTTCTCTTAATATATTTTCTTTTTTGTGTCAAGATGCCTAAAATGCAAACCATCTGTGTTTGTGGTATGACTCAAGAAGTAGACTGCTTCTCTATAGTGTGTGAGGCCATGGTTAATTCCTAGTGCCATAGAAACAAGAACAAAACAAAGCATCATTAAACTAGTGAGATATAAACAAATGAAGGATAATTCAGCCTAAAAAACTGTAATGCGTCTTATTTTTCTTATATTTATGTCTCAGAAATATATATATATATTGTATATATATATATTGTATTCACATATAAATGGTATAAGCAGCTACAGATCAGGTATGAAATTAATCTTAATAGCAATAACTGCCATTGTAATTTTGTGACTAAAAGTTCTATGATATTATGCTGTGGGAAATTTATATGATAAAAGAAAAATGAAGATAAATACCTATCTATAAATGAATTGTTACCTGTAGGACCAATGCTGTTTTCTAAAGGCAGCTCATTTGTACACAGGTATGACATCAAAGATGACTACACTCTGAGAATTAAGAAGGCCCTGAGTACAGATGAAGGAACCTATATGTGCATTGCTGAGAATCGGGTAGGAAAAGTGGAAGCCTCTGCTACCCTCACAGTCCGAGGTAAGAGATTTAACATGTCCAAATACAATTAAACCAGGACACTAATCCATTTTAATTTGGTAAGTGGGATTACAATGACAATAATAGGAGCCAGATATGTTTGTGTACACCTGTAATCCCAGGACTCAGGAGGCTGGAGGAGAATGATCATGAATTCGAGGTCAGCCTCTGTTGCATTTCTAGGAAAGAAGGAAGGAAGGTCAGAAATAGATTGTATCATTTTGTTATTATATTAAATACCTTGATTTTTATGTTCTCCATATTACTTACTATACTAAAATGATTTCCAAACTTCCAGATAGTGACCCTTTCAAAAGATTGTGTCTTGCTTAGTAAACAATAGCTTATATGGTTAAGTTGAACTCACAAGTTTATGCTTGCTAGGCATATACTCTACTTGACCCATGCTCTGACTCCTTTTTGCTTTAGTTATTTTGGGCATAAGATCTCATGTTTATTACCCAGCTGGCCTGAACCAGTGTCCTACTGTTTATATTCCCACACATACCACTATGTGCAGTTCTTGATTAAGATGGGCTCTTGAAACTTTTGGTCTGGCCTGTCTTCAAATCATGATCCTCTGATTGTTCCCTCCTGTGTAGCTAGGATTATAAGCATGAGCCTCCATGATAGCTAAGAGTAAATTTTAATAACAGAAATTGTATACCTTAATGTTTGACATATTTACTATGTTCAACTATTTACTGATTTTTAAATGTCATCCATTTCAAAGATGATCTAGTGTTCTCTGTTCTTTGTTTGTTACCTTTCAAATGTCATTTTTATTTAAGCATTCATAAAAGCAATGCGGTTTTAAGGAAAAAAAATCCCTAAAACCTTAAACATGCTTTCATAGGTGTAAAACACAGGAGCTTTAGAATCCTGATCATCTGATTTACAGAGTGATATATGAAGTTCACTGATCCTAAATAATTGAATTAACAGTGGTACTCTTGTAATAACTTTCACTTTCTAGGTGTAATGTACTTCATCATGGAATAATGTTCATTTTGTAAACTCACTGAAATTGCTTACATGTGAAAGAAAGCATTACTAAGCCCTAGCACCTTGCAATAGAATGAATTAACTTCCTACTGCAACATGTTGAGGAACTGAGTTATATGGTCCGCAGTTCCAAACAGCATCATGTACACAGTGAGCAAGCACTTAGTCTTTAAAGCAGATGTTGCCATGGTATTGTTTACACTCACCTGACTTTAAACAGAGACATGCTGCTCATATGTTCAGTCCTTCGTCTTTCTTTCACCAAGACTCTGTCTCCTCCTCTCATCCTTCAGGATCAGAAGGTTAGGTACAAGTGTTCATCACCTCTGAGTTACATCTCTTCCTAATCAGAACTTTTACCCTTATACAAGAAGTTCTTGAGTGTTTTCTTCACTGAGAATGATTTTCACCAGATCTAAAGTTTAGGTTTCATTTGCCTCCATATGATGATAGAAGAAAGGCTTTCTCTGTACCACAAAAATATTGGAACTTTCTAACTTCTGGGTGTGTTCCATTCCTCTCCCACCGGTGTATGCACCCATTTGTGTGCATGTGTGCATGTGTGTTTCAGTTTGTTTTAATAGTAAGATAGGCCAAAACAAATTTAAGCAGGATGCCAGTGGTACATGAGTATAATCCTACCTACTCAGGAGTCTAAGAGCTGAGGATCCAAGTTAAGCAGAAAAGTCCTTGAGATACTTACGCTGAATTAACCAGGGAATAGCTGGAAGTAGAGATTTGGCTCAAATAGTGGAGTGCCAGCCATGAGTGAAAAAGCCAAACAGGAGCATGAGGTCCCCAGTTCAAATCCCAGTACCAGTAAACACACACACACACGCACACACGCACACACGCACACACAATTCAGGCAAAATTGACAAACTACTTGCTTAAAAACCTATTAAGTCAAAAGAGCCCTGATAATATATGAACTAAATACATATAAATTATCTGATTAAAAAATCTAGTAACTCCTATGACAAGATGAAGTCTTTTTACTCTAACCTACATGCTTTGTGTTTTTATAAATGCTTGCTTTTAAGTAGGTAGTCATTTGCAAAAAATGAGTCCTTTTACCAAATCGACTCCACAGTTTGTATTTGTCTGTGTTTCTGAAGTGAATGGAAAAACAAACAACCAAGAAATGTCCCATTTTAAAAGATAAAAATATTTGCTGACTAAACACATGGTGAGAAAATGTGAGGAGTTGTTTGCTTGTAAAAGCAGCAGGGTTCTTTTTATACTTGAATGCTTGGATGAATGAGGTTTGAAGTAGTCTGTTTGCTTTAAGATCTTTCCCAGCTAATTGTTTTCATCATTTGTTGAAAGTTTCATGTTTAACATTTCATTGAACAAAGTATGCTCCCCAAGCATGGATGTTTGAATCTAACTTACAAAACGAATCCAAAACATTGTTTACTTTTAGTATAGAATAATTTTCAAAAAATAAGAAAACCTGGGCTGGGAAGTTGGCTCAGTGGTAGAGTGCTTGCCTCGCATGCATGAGGCCCTGGGTTCGATTCCTCAGCACCACATAAGCAGAAAAAAGCCGGATGTGGCGCTGTGGCTCAAGTGGTAGAGCTCTAGCCTTGAGCTGAAGAGCTGAGGGACAGCACCCAGGCCCAGAGTTCAGGCCCAACAACCGGACCCAAAAAACAAAATAAAAACAAAAAATAAGAAAACCTTAAATGGTTTTACCCATACTTTATTGCTGGATTCCAATTCTTGTTCCCTACAGTGTATAGGTTGATGATTTTGATTCTTATTGTAACCTACTAATCAAGGTTTGTTGTTTTTTTTTAAGTTTCTATAAGACAATGTGATGTAGGGAACAGTATTATTTAAATATTTTTTAAACCATTAAGAAAAGCAGCTGGGACTTCTCATACTGAGATTAATAGGGAAAAATATGACTTTTTTCTGTGCTCATTTTCTTATGCACATAAATGTATTGTATAAGACTCATTTAGTTTGTTTTATTGGAAGCAAGATTAGTAGACCCAAAAGGCCATGTCAGTTTTCATTCATTTAATGCAGGGACACACAGTTTAATTTGCTGATTTTGAAAACATCCACCTGCTGGCTTTCTCAGAATAATGTTTTACTATATAACAAGGACAGGAAGTTTTATGTGAAGTTTCTACTAAAATCTATCGTGATGCTCAGATTAGTCTCATTTGAGAAGGTTCTTTTGTTGTTGTTTTTGTTGTTGTTGTTGTTGTTATGGTAGTTGGGCCTTGATCTCAGGGGCTTACATTTGTGAGCTGGTCACTCCACCACTGAGCTACAACCCAGCTCCACTTGGGAGAAACTTGTTAAACAAGCAACATTTGAAACAGGACTATTTTAATTGTGTCTAATACTATTGGAAAGGACTATGACTCTTATAGAGAGACAATTCTACTGTTATTTTCAGAGATTACACAATGCTTGGCTTACAATGTGTATGTTGAATGATCACATATAAACATGTCTTCAATGCTCCATCTACATCATCATCCTCAAAAAGCTTTAATAAAAAATACATTCATACCTTCTTCTATGGAGATACATTATTAGGCTATTCTATTAGGATATGATAATAATCCTGTTTGTTGAAAAAGTTTATATTTTTAAGGTCAGATTTCATAAAAGTTCAAATACTAATAAATCTGATTTTTTATTTGGATAAAATGCATGCCCTTACAATATTTTCTATTGCTTCTATGTGATGTGGTTTATTATCTAAACTCATTAAGAAATATGCTTTAAAGAAACTATTTTAAGCCATGTGTATCTGCTACTATTTCTGTGCATTAACAGGACAGCCTAGTACTAGGCATTTAGTGGCTAAAAGTTATGGTATAATTTTTAAAAAAGTAATTTGTTGGAGCAGACATTTGAAAGCTCATCTCAGTGTGGACAAGAATCAACCTGTCAGTCATTGTTTCATGGCCTCTGCCAAAAGAAGTATAAAGTTTAGCAGTAGTTAGGGAGATACTGAGTTGAAATCTTGAAGGATGTTCCAGCCTATTTGTTATATTTTCATCCATCGTATCCATGGTTGAAAAGTGATGTGATCTTAACTTATTACTGACTGAAAAGCAGAATCAGGCACTTTCCTGTAGTCCTTGTAATAGTTCTGACTAACCATGCTTAAAATCCAATTGCTATTTAAATCAGACAGTGAGGCCTTCTTTTATTGACATGACATTCGCTAGTCTGTGACTTGAATAGTTACCTTCAGCAGGTTTTAAACTCTGAGGTAGCACAAGCCTGTTCAACTCAAGGTCTTTGTAATAATAACTACCATAAGAGGTGATGGTAAGAGTTTACTCAAAATATCTCTTAACATGCTAATAGCACTAAAAGTTAAAATATTTATTTTCTCAGAAATATATTTATAGCTTTCGGTTTAATCAAATTTAGACATCCTGGTCATACATGATTTATGAGACTAGAGATCACTCTATTGTCCATATTTATATGTAGCATTACACATCATGCATTCTGATAATTTTCTTTTCTTCTTTTTTTTAATTTCTTTTTTATGTTGTCACCACACCATTGTAATGTCTACAGCTCGCCCTGTTGGTAAGTAGCCATCCTTCTATCCATTCAGCATGACTTTGTACAATGCTTCATAATTCATGCATAGCAGCATCTGGCAGATGAAATATACTTATTCACCCATGTTAACATATTACTTGAGGGACTGTCTGCTGTAGAGGTAGCTTCTGACTTTTTCATTTTGTTAAACCATTTTTGTAATGACTTATGTTACATAACAATCAGTAGGTACCAATGTTCATGTAAAGAATATATGAATGATTAATGTTATAAACTGACTACATTCTCTTAAGGAGAAAAATATAATACTTGCCTTTTTCCTATACATGTTAAAAATAAGTTACTGGTAATATTTGTGAAGATTAAACATTATGAACTAACATTTTGAGGTGCTATTGATTTACTTAGTTCATTTATTGTATTTTCTCAAACTCCCAACCCTTTAGGAGTATTTTTTAATCTTCGGAATACTTGCTATCTGCATACTTATTTAAACAAAATTTAGTAGATTGCCTTATGCTACTGTAAGTAGGTTCTTACCCGTAGTGAAAAAAGAAGGAGGAAGCTGTGTTCTTTGGCAGGAAAAGTTAATGTTTATGATTATAATGTCATATTTTCATTTGAATTCACAAAACTGGAGTCATAGCTTGCATTTATAGAAATTTATTGGTAATTGCTTATATACATATATATATGTACTTGTATGATAAAATGTTTTCAAATTTCTTCCTATATTCTGTTTAATTTAACCTACTAATAAGTAAATGACTAGATGGATGCATAGATGGCTAAAAGAATTCAGGGTGGTTCTCCTTTAAAATATTAACAAATCATGTAAAAAATTATTAGTTTTTAGGATTTATAACTCACCCATTTAGCTGCAAAACCTTTCTTAATATAAAAGCTTAACATTTTTGACATCTGATATGAATTGATCCCATATAACATTTCCCCATTTAGTTGTGATATTCACAGTCTTTGTTCTTGTGAGTTATGTTCTTCCCTGGACAGTAAATATAGAAATAAAATTTTGGCTTCCATTTCTTAATTTCTGATATGCAATTTCTGATCAGTCTACCATTTCATTTGTATTTTATTTCCAGCCGCCCCTGATTAAAATATCAGTATTTTAATTTTCAGTTACATTCTGTAAAATGGAGAGAAATATAGTGACTTATTAAAGCTGTTGCAGGGATACATTCAGTTAAGATGGAACAAACTATGAGGTGTCATACATCCCAAGACTGCCTGAGTTATTTCTAATTTTTCAGCCATACCATTTTGCATTTTAATAGTTTTAAATGCATATATTGTATAAAATTAACTAAAACATACACTATTTTTTATTGAGACACAATTATTAAATGAAACATTTTATATCACAATTGGTATTATTTAAATTTTGAGGACTTTTTTTTCATGTTGATACTGGGACTTGAATTCAAGTCCCTACTATCTCTTTTGGCTTTGCTTATTGCTGTCCTTAACCACTGGAATTATACATCAACCTGGACTTTTTTTTTTGATTAATTGGAAGTGGAATCTTATAGGCATATCTGCCTAGCTAGCTTTGAACTGATATCCTCCAGGATTAACCTCCTGAGTAAGTAGGATTACAGAAGTGATCCTGAGGCATCTGGCTAAAAATCACATTTATTTGTAAAAACTCTACTCTCACACACGATGACCACTTGACTAACACTATTTCACATGTTCGCAGAACATAAAGCAATGTTCATTAACATTCTATATATTTAGAACCTTTTACGAAGAACAAAGTACACTGAGTCAAACAATGTGAGATGCAGCAAATTGAGATGTCACGGATAAGGCATTTCAAGAAGTTATTTCAAGTTTTTATTCTTGCTTGAAATGGTTTTTTAAATTCCCATTGGGGTGGAAATTAAGCACAGCTTCTTGACACATTATACCTTATTCTTAGAAAGTCTGTCATTTCATAGATCTTTCTTGAATGACTTCTGACAATGTTCAGGAATCTAAAGATCTACACTTTAAGTGTGACAACTACTATTAATTCTGAAAACTGAATGTTAGATAAAATTTTATTGGTTTTCCAGAGAACAGAAGAATGATGAAGAAATTAGGCTCATTTTTCATTGCATCAACTCCTTAAGTAAATTTAAAGCCAGCAGATATGGTCATTGGAACCTTTGTTGTAGGGTCAAATGGCAAACTTAAATATAATAATAAATTAAATATTCCGCGGAATATTTATTCAGATGTGTTAATGGAGTTGAATATAAGTTTTTGAACACCGATGCCCTTTGAGATAACACAAAGAACATTCTGCAGAATAGACTCCTAGAGAGGAGAGAAAAGCTAGCTTTTCATTCCAATATAAACCATCAATTATATAAAGTCTATAGGAAATTTGGAGGGTTGTATTTATGTCTAAGCTTTTAAAGTAAAAGTAGGAATCAATGCAGATTCTATACTTAAAGATTCACAATTCAAGAAAGAATCGCTTTAGATCAGCTTCTCCCAGCCCCATCAATGCCCACTTGGTAATTAGCAACACACCAGTCTTCCTGTGGCTTTGACTTTCCACTGTCCCAGAAGAATCCTTTGTATGAGAAGCAAAGGAGTATGCTAGGGCACAGAGATATATTTGTTTGTTTATTTGAAAAACTCTTCCAATGAGAGTGACACTAAGAAAAGGGCCTAAATAAGAAAAATCTTTTGCTTCCTATACCCATCTGTCTTACTTTTTTATTGGAAGCCCTTCCCATGCTTAAAAATAAAAAAAGAACATCTATTTTGGAGATGGGCAACACATTTTTTCCTAGCAGCAACTAAAAACATGATGAGTAATTTGAAAAAGAACTGTCAAATTTCCCAGCTGCCTTGCTTGTGAAGATGAGCCCTGCTTGGTTTTGTCTCTTATGCGTGCCATATGCTAGCTGCTGATAGCCTCAGGTATGAAAAATGAAAGTTCAGTGTATCAGTGAAACTTGTTTAAAATATCAAAAACAATCTGTCAGCACACAATTTTATGGAAACTTTTAAGTATTTCCCAATTCAGTACACAAAAATATGTTTTCTTGATAGAGCCTGGTGGCTAATTCTGTAATCCTACCTACTCAGGAAGCTACAGTTAGGTCATAGTCAAAGCCAACCTAGAACGGAAAGTCTGTGAGATCTTACATCCAATTAACCATAAAAGACAAGAAGTGGAGTTGCAGCTCAAAGAGTAAAATACCACCAGCCTTGAGCAAATGAGCTAAAGGACAGTAGTAGGCCCTAATTACAAGCCCCAGTACTAGCACCAAAATAGTATGTTTTCTTTTGATAAGAATTGATATTTAACCACCAAAGAATTTATAATTATAGAGAAATATATGTTATTAGCAAAACTTGCCTTTCTTAAAATTATTGTTTTAAAAAAGTGGCCATTCTGCAAACAGACATCTGTAATGCATGTAAAATTTCCCCAGTGCTTTAGCATTTCATAAACATATCAGCATCTTAGAAAGTTCTATTTTATGAGTTGAGCTGGAGTTTATTATAGCCAAATACAAAATACTTCATTCTAGGAAGGCAGTAAGTAGCAAAACTTCTAGGGGTAAATTCTAAGACATTATTTAAAGAATAAAGAAAGTGATGGATATTTTCAACACATTCCTTTCCTCATGCAGCTTGCCATTTGGAAATTCTAATGTGCTGTGAATAATTTAATTTAATGCTGGAAATGGTTCAGTTATTTTTTACTTCAGGAAACATGCTTTTCTTATCATGTTATCAACAAAAGATATTTTGAGTGCATTTGAGGATGAGACATAGAGATTTCATCCCTCCTTTGGACAAAATGTTACTTCACGACTTGAGTGTTCACCTCCCTCCTGCATACACTTGGTATTTTCTGCACCTGGTACTGATTGGGTACTCTATGAAGAGTACCAATTATTACTAAAAATTGGCATTTTATTGCTTCATATCTTCTGATTACATGATAAATATCCAGTATATTTTGTACATTCCAACAGAGTTTCCATAGTATAATATCTCAATTTAATGGTAAATTTTAACATTTAAGGCAAGTATGGCTTATTTCTCATATAGACTTCTTTCACCTGTTGCTTCATTATGTAAGCTCAGTATGTTTCTAAGGGAGGCTAGGTATGATGTTTCTGAATTATTATTTGTTTACAACATTGTAAAAATGAACTTGGTGAAAAGATTCTCTTGTCTGGTTATTGAAGGATTCTGTAGTGAATAAAGTATGAAGTTTCCAGATCCTTTCCCTCTTGACTGAAATTCCTTTCACCTATATGAATACTCATGTAGTCCACACTTTGAAATACCTTTGCTGAATTGCACTGTGTTGCTGATCATCTAATATTCTTGATACAAGTTTCAGTGAACCAATAGATTTGTGAGTTGATTTATTTCAAGAACATTTCCTTTGAGTTTGTCTTTGGATATATATTAATTTCTTCAAATATTTCAAGTACTCAAGTACTTAGATTTCCTCTTACTACACTCCATGTTTGTCACTTGCTTGTAATGAAGTCAGTCATATTTCTTGACATCAAAATATCTTTATTTGCTCATTATTCCTATATATTTATAGATTTCATCTCTTTTGTTCATTTTAACTATGTTTTCTGCCTGTGATATTTCTACTTGCCCATTTTTGGTCATTGGTTTTTGTTTTTAACAAGGAGCCTCTATAATACCTAATTTTATTTAGATAATGCACAATTATTTTAAAATGTTCACATCTTATGAGATAAATTTATTATTTTCATTCCTGTGATTATATACATTATTATTTAACCTGCTGCCTTGTTTTAGCTTGACCCTGTTTTGATATGTAACAGATTATTAATTATGTAGTTAAATATAGAGATTAAAATGTGAATGTTCAAAGAAGAGGTAGTAGGATTATTCAGTAGCCTTAATTGGAATGGTTTTCAATTATTTTTTTAAATGCATTGTTTTTGTTGTTGTTGTTGTTTGTAAATATGCATTTGGTTGACCTTTAAGTTTGTTAAATTGTGACT